GCTCATCTCATCAGGCCTTTTTTAGTCGGATGTATCGCCCACTGTCAGTCCCGTCGGGATCCATCCCTCATTCATCTTAATAAAGGTGAGGTAATCTAGACTTTTTTTGACCTAGGCGACTTCTCTTCTCAGTGACAATACCTCCTGCTGCACTGAAGGTCCTTTCTGACAGGACACTTGGGATAGTTCAGGCCACAGGTCAAGCCTGCACACCCAGTAGTGAAGGGGTTCATCGCTCCTCAGAGTGTCGATATCTGCAGTTAAGGCGAGGTAGTCTGCTACCTGTTGGTCGAGTCGTTCTCTGAGGGTGGACCCCGAAGGGCTGTGGCGATGCGTAGGACTTAAAAAGCTCTGCATGTCCTCCATCAACAACACGTCTGTAAAGCGTCCTGTCCTTGCCGGCATGGTCGTGGGAGGAGGAGGATTACTTTCACCTCTTCCCCTGTTAGATTCCCGTTTTGCTGTGACATCACCCTTATACGCTGTGTAAAGCATACTTTTTAATTTATTTAGCAAATGCTGCATCCTTTCCGACTTGTTGTAATTTGGTAACATTTCAGCCACTTTCTGCTTATACTGGGGGTCTAGTAGCGTGGACACCCAGTACAGGTCGTTCTCCTTCAGCCTTTTTATACGAGGGTCCCTCAACAGGCACGACAGCATGAAAGACCCCATTTGCACAAGGTTGGATGCCGAGCTACTCATTTCCCGTTCCTCCTCCTCAGTGATCTCAATGAAGGTATGTTCTCCCCCCCAGCTACGTACAACACCACGGGTACCAGGTAGGTGACAACGAGCACCCTGGGATGCCTGTTGTGGTTGGTCTTCCTCCTCCTCCTCAAAGCCACATTCCTCCTCTGACTCCTCTTCCTCACAATCCTCTTCCAGCGTTGCCGCAGGTCCAGCAAGCGATGCTGACAAGGCTGGTTCTGGTGGTGATGGTGACCACAACTCTTCCTCTTCCTCTTCACGCTCATCTACGGCCTGATCCAGCACTCTTCGCAGGTCATGCTCCAGGAAGAAAACAAATGGTATGATGTCGCTGATGGTGCCTTCAGTGCGACTGACTAGGTTTGTCACCTCCTCAAAAGGACGCATGAGCCTACAGGCATTGCGTATGAGCGTCCAGTAACGTGGCAAAAAAATTCCCAGCTCCCCAGAGGCTGTCCTAGCACCCCGGTCATACAAATATTCATTAATGGCTTTTTCTTGTTGGAGCAGGCGGTCGAACATTAGGAGTGTTGAATTCCAACGTGTCGGGCTGTCGCAAATCAAGCGCCTCACTGGCATGTTGTTTTGCCGCTGGATATCGGCAAAGTGCACCATGGCCGTGTACGAACGCCTGAAATGGCCACACACCTTCCTGGCCTGCTTCAGGATGTCCTGTAAGCCTGTGTACTTATGTACAAAGCGTTGTACGATCAGATTACACACATGTGCCATGCATGGCACATGTGTCAACTTGCCCAACTTCAATGCCACCAACAAATTTGTTCCGTTGTCACAAACCACTTTGCCGATCTCCAGTTGCTGCGCAGTCAGCCACTTTTCCACCTGTGCGTTCAGGGCGGACAGGAGTGCTTGTGCGGTGTGACTCTCTGCTTTCAAGCAAGTCAAACCCAAGGCGGCGTGACACTGCCGTATCCGGGATGTGGAATAGTACCTGGGGAGCTGGGGGGTGCCGTTGATGTGGAGCAAGAAGCAGCAGCAGAAGAGGACTCAGCCGAGGAGGTTATGGAAGAGGATGGAGTAGGAGGAGTAGAGGAGGTGGCAGCAGGCCTGCCTGCAAGTCGTGGCGGTGTCACCAACTCCTCTGCAGAGCCACGCATTCCATGCTTGGCAGCCGTCAGCAGGTTTGCCCAATGCGCGGTGTAGGTGATATACCTGCCCTGACCATGCTTTGCAGACCAGGTATCAGTGGTCAGATGGACCCTTGCCCCAACACTGTGTGCCAGACATGCCATTACTTCCTTTTACACAATCGAGTACAGGTTGGGGATTGCCTTTTGTGAAAAGAAATTTCGTCCGGGTACCTTCCACTGCGGTGTTCCAATAGCTACAAATGTTTTGAACACCTCAGACTCCACCAACTTGTATGGTAAAAGCTGGTGGGCTAATAGTACAGACAAGCCAGCTGTCAGATGCCGGGCAATGGGGGTGACTATCTGAGATTGGCTTCTTACTCTCAAACATGTCCTTGACAGACACCTGACTGTGGGCAGATGAGCAGGAACTGCTCAAGGCGAGAGACGGAGTGGCGGATGGTTGAGAGGGGGCAAGGAGGACAGCAGTGGTTGACGTGGCTAAAGATGCTGGACCAGGAGGAGGATGGCGGCTTTGAGTTTGTGTGCTGCTTGTACTCATATGTTGATCCCATAGGCGTTTGTGATGTGCGATCATATGCCTACGCAAAGCAGTTGTACCTAGGTGGGTGTTGGACTTCCCACGACTCAGTTTCTTTTGGCACAGGTTGCAAATGGCATCGCTGTTGTCAGAGGCAGACACACAAAAAAAATTCCACACTGCTGAGCTCTGCAATGGCGGCATTCTGGTGGTGGACACAGCATGCGTTGATTGGCGTGCTGTCGGGCTGACCCCGGGTGCCGATGCATGCTGTCTGACTGTGCCACTAGCTCCTTGCGACGACCTACCCCTGCTTCCAACTTGTCTCCTCCTCCTCCCTGTCTCCCCATCTGAACTTTCGCCCTGTTCTTCTTCTTGCCGAGCGGGCACCCACGTGACATCCATGGACGCATCGTCATCATCAACCGCTTCACTTGTATCTGACAACTCAGCTAAGGAAGCAGCAGCGGGTACAACATTATCATCATCACACCATACATGTGTAATGCTGCCTGACTGAGACATATCCCTGTTATCTACATCCTCTGTCAATAATGGTTGCGCATCACTAATTTCTTCAAATGGATGTGTAAATAACTCCTCTGACATACCAAGTGAAGCGGCTGTGGTGCTAGTGTTGGTGGTGGCAGCAGGCGGGTGAGTGGTATCTTGAGAGGTGCCCGAAGCTAAGCTGGAGGAGGATGTTGTGCAAAGGTTCTGAGCGGAAGCTGTAGAAGCTTGGGTGTCCTGTGTTAGCCAGTCAACTATGTCCTCAGAACTTTTCAAGTTCAGGGTACCTGGCCTCTGAAAACTGGGCATTATTCTAGGGCAAAAGGGAATCACAGCACCACGAACACGACGGCCCCTGCGGGGTGGCCTGCCTCTGCCTGTCATTTTTTTTTGATTAGTGGTACTATGCGTGCAAGCTACTGTGACACCAGATATGAGTGGCACTGTGAACTGGCAGAGGTTGGCAGAGTACACGCTGAAGGCCTGACACACCCGCTTGAAGACAACTAACTGCTATTCAATCTATAACAGGGAAAAAAGTTTTTTGGTTTTTAAATGCACGCTATTTTGACACCAGTGAGTGAGTGGTGGCACTGGGCAAGTGGGCACAGTATACGCTGCAAGCCTGACACACAGACACTTGGAGACAACTAACTGCTATTCAATCTATAACAGTGAAAAAAGTTTTTTGGTTTTTAAATGCATGCTATTGTGACACCAGTGAGTGAGTGGTGGCACTGGGCACAGTATCCACTGTGAGCCTGACACAGATCCTGGCAGACAACTAACTGCTATTCAATCTATAACAGAGAAAAAAGTTTTTTGGTTTTTAAATGCATGCTATTGTGACAACAGTGAGTGGGTGGTGGCACTGGGCACAGTATCCACTGTGAGCCTGACACACCCGCTTTGAGACAACTAACTGCTATTCAATCTATAACAGTGAAAAAAGTGTTTTGGTTTTTAAATGCACGCTATTGTGACACCAGTGAGTGAATGGTGGCACTGGGCACAGTATCCACTGTGACCCTGACACAGACACCGGCAGACAACTAACTGCTATTCAACCTATAACAGTGAAAAAAAGTTTTTTGTTTTTAAATGCACGCTATTGTGACACCAGATATGAGTGGCACTGTGAACTGGCAGAGGTTGGCAAAGTACACGCTGTAGGGCTGACACACCCGCTTTGAGACAACTAACTGCTATTCAATCTATAACAGTGAAAAAAGTTTTTTGTTTTTAAATGCACGCTATTGTGACACCAGATATGAGTGGCACTGTGAACTGGCAGAGGTTGGCAGATTACACGCTGTGGGCCTGACACACCCGCTTGAGACAACTAACTGCTATTCAATCTATAACAGTGAAAAAAGTTTTTTGTTTTTAAATGCACGCTATTGTGACACCAGACATGAGTGGCACTGTGAACTGGCAGAGGTTGGCAGAGTACACACTGTAGGGCTGACACACCCGCTTTGAGACAACTAACTGCTATTCAATCTATAACAGTGAAAAAAGATTTTTATTTTTTTAAATGCAAGCTATTGTGACACCAGTGAGTGAGTGGTGGCACTGGGCAAGTGGGCACAGTATCCACTGTGAGCCTGACACACAGACGCTTGCAGACAACTAACTGCTATTCAATCTATTACAGTGAAATACATTTTTATTTTTTTAAATGCAAGCTATTGTCCAAGCTATTGTGACACCAGATGTAATTGGTGGCACTGACTGGGGAAATGGGCACTGTGAGCCTGACACAGAAGCTGGCAGCAGTGGCAGACAACTAAGTGCACTTACATTACATAGAAAAAAAAAATCAAAAAAAAGCATACCCTTATCCCTAACCTAGCTATGCTTTTCCCTATCTTATGAACAGCAGCTACACTTTCCCTCCTCTTACTAAGCATGCAGCTTGAGAATGAATCTAAAATGGATGCTGTCCAGTAGGTGGGAGGGTCTGCTAGGGAGGCTGTGCTGCTAATTGGCTGGAATGTGTCTGCTGACTGTGAGGTACAGGGTCAAAGTTTACTCAATGAAGACGAATAGGGGGCGGGTCGAACCGCGCATATGTTCGCCCGCCGTGGCGAACGCGAACACGCTATGTTCGCCAGGAACCGTTCGCCGGCGAACCGTTCGGTACATCACTAGCTGAGAGCATCAGCTGATCACTCTCAGCCAATGAGACGATACGAACTGCTGTGCTTAGCACAGGCTGCAGTGGAGTCAGGAAGCAGAGCCCAGCAGCATCCAATGTATGATGGCACCATTATAAAAATCTTTGAGTACTTACATTGAAGGGCATCCCAGGGCACCATAACCCCGACAGCATGAACCAGTGGTTCCCAACCCAGTCCAGGATTTAGGGATTACCCTGTTGTATCTAAAGTTTTTTTTTTCCCTTTTCCAAAAAAAAACAAAAAAAAAAAAAACACACACAACTGGGTAATCCCTAAATCCTGGACTGTTAGGGGGTACTCGAGGACTGGGTTGGGAACCACTGGTTTAAACTATAAGGAATAACAAACAGACTATTTTTCCTACAAAAACTGACAGTACTGGGAACATTTATCAAAGTTACACGTTTATGCTTCTGTTATATATTTTTGAAGAAATGCACTTGTGAAACAAAAAAAAATAAAAAATAAAAATTTAAAAACCGCAACAGGAGAAAACTGACAGAAAAGGAGCAAAGAGAACATTTATGAAACAAAGCAGAGAATAAATAGGAACAACTGGATACTATACTTTTTATACATGACCTCCATTCTGCTTCAAGGCGTTTTCCTGTTATTTACGACTTTTCCAAGTGTAGCACCTGCTTGTGTTTTGGTACATATTGTCAATGTTGTCTGAAAGGTGCATTCATGATTATTCTAATGTGGCTTCTAATGTGTAAGAAGTGAAAACTATGATTTATGTATAATTGCATTACATTGTGATAGGAGTTGTGAATATACAGTTCATGCATATATTGGAAGGCCCTAGTTGTGATTTTTTTATTTTTTTTTATTTTATTACTCAGCACCACTTGTTCTTAATTCTACACACCTAGAACATTCATATATGCAAAATACAGACTAAGGAACAACACATACCAAAAAAATAAATAAAATGTTTTAAATCTTACAAGGCTACTTAAAATCACCTATTTTACCAAACGTGGGAATTTGGTTACACCATATGACGATATTGTGTTACCTCACAGTGCCCCAATATTGATGGGTCATCAATACTAATACTGCTCATTGCACCTTTAAAAAATGAATATCAAAAAACAAATGCAGTTAATCTTGAAATAATTTCACAAATGAGCAGCTAGCAAACCAGCAGTTATACCAATTTCTACTAATAGCTGTTGTCTTAAACTAGATGGATTCATGGCTCGTTAAAATTAATGCCATATGATCTTTTATGTAATTATGCAATATGTGCATTTTCCTTCAGATTTTGAAAGGCTTTCCACTCATATGGCAGTCATATTTTATATTATTTGAGTAAAAAGTGAATAAAATAAACTGAAAAAGATCCTGCATAAATGTGTGATGAAAAGTAAAACTTTAATCAAAAAAAAAAAAAACAAACAAAAAAAAAAAACACAGCTTTTTATATTTGTATTAAAATGTAATTTTACATAAAATTTCAAATACCGGTACTTATATTCAAAAACATATATAAACATAATCAAAATATAGTGGAATGTATGATACAATGTAAATGAGTAAATATTAAATAAAATTCTAATCGTTCTAATCATTGCCTTATTTTGATTTCCATCCCTATCAAATTTTAACATGAAAGTAGATTAAAGAATAGCTAAAGGGCCTACCAATTGGAAATAACTTTCCCTGCAGTACAAAAAAAAACACAACACACACCACACTTTACCTGCAGTGCTGCTAGGTAATACTGTGCTGATGATCAATGGGGAGCTATAAGTATAAACATTACAGGGACACTGTAGGCTCTATGACCATTTCATCTCCTTGAATTGGGTATAGTGCCTGAAAACCCCTGGCACTGTCGCTCCATTCATTCAGTATTAAACCATTTTTGAGAAGTTTAGAACGAATTGGTTCCTGGCTTCCATAGCCCTGGCCCCACTGGAGGTAAGACTAAGGCAGAGATTACACATTTCCTGGTAGCTATACCAATTTATACCTGCTATAGCACTGTGATAGGATAAATTTGGTCAGCTGACACTACCATTGCTGCTCAGGCTAAGGCTTCCTCAGCAGACCAAGTACAATAGAGGGGATGGGTTGCTGGGGGCTCTTATTTAGCATTAAACCATTAAAGTGGCTTGATGCTGAATGGAAGGACAGCACCAGGGGACTCCATACACTACCAATTAACCCATTGTTTACGGAAAGCATTCATGAGCAGCTTGATGCCTGCACTATTATGGCAGCAAAGCTTTATTATCAACATTGTTTTATCAGTTATATGGCCAAAGATTAAATATAAACTGCTGAAATTTTTTATTGATTCCTGATTGAACTTTGAAAAGGTTGGCAATGACTACTAGCATCAGGGGCGTTGCTAGGTGGGAAGAATAATATTCTCATGTTTTAGTCAACTCTAGTACCTGGGAGCCAGCGAGCGAGCCTATAATTAGAGAAAGCTACTGATTTGTAGGACCAATAGATGCCTAGCCTTCTGCCCAAATATAATGATTCCTAAACATAATAGAAGGCAATAAATACCCAATCATCTACTATCCATTTTCTTACCACAATTTATACTGATTAAGCCATTGACAGCGAGGTTTAGAAAACATTTTGCATTACACATACCAGGTTTCGGCCCAATTAATTGCAATATAATTAACTATAATTAGGAGCAGAGATCAATCATAAAACTGGGTATTTGCACATGTTCGTGCAAGCAATGGACAACCAAAGCCAAACTCAGAAAAAAATGCATATGACTGTTAAACAGCTAACATCCATCCTATCCTTGGCTAAGAGCAGATTTTTTTTGAGCCTATGGCAAAACTCGGCACACCTGTAATCATACCACATTTATTCATTACAAACAATATGTAAGTGTTTAGAAATATTTAAATACATATTACAATGTTAAAAAGTTCTTGGCATACTATAACAGCACAATATTTCCAAGTCAATGCTTTTTGAAGTCCACTGCTGGCCAATGGGCCCTATTGCATATGTTTTGGGACACAGGATTCTGCTGTGGGTTCTTCTTATCTGAAAAGATAGCATATTTGTTCAATGCACTCTTAACAAGGATATTAATTGGCAAAGTCTTCATAGGAACAAAGAGGGGGGGAGAGAGGGGAGAGAGCTTTTCCTGGTAGCTATACCAATTTATACCTGCTATAGCACTGTGATAGGATAAATTTGGTCAGCTGACACTACCATTGCTGCTCAGGCTAAGGCTTCCTCAGCAGACCAAGTACAATAGAGGGGATGGGTTGCTGGGGGCTCTTATTTAGCATTAAACCATTAAAGTGGTTTGATGCTGAATGGAAGGACAGCACCAGGGGACTCCATACACTACCAATTAACCCGTTGTTTACGGAAAGTAGGGGGAGGAGAGGGGGAAGGGGGGGGAGGAGAAATGGAAGGGGAAAAAAGAAACACACACACACACAATCCCTTATAACTTACTATAAGTATATCAATCATATAAATAGAACTTAGTTAATAATATAGAATATTCATGGATATAATATCAATGAAGAAATGTCATTTATTAACATTAGTGGAATATGTGTAATATTAACTATGTAGTTCAGAACTCTGAAAAAGTTTCTATTTTCATACAATTCTCTCATCATTCCTGGGACATATCTACAAATCAGATAGAAAATCTACTAAATAACTAGTAATTATGCTGGTTTTAATTAATTTAATTAAATTAATTTTACTAAAATGCAGAATATACTTCGATAAAAGTTGGTGATTCCAACATTAGAGAGTCATGGTTCTTTAATAATATATTACATTCGTAATTCCATTTCTGCAGGTGGACCAATGAACTCTAGATTACTTTTAACTTTAAAAATAGAATACCAGCCAATTATCCAGATATATTAGCTTATGTAATTTAGAAATAGTAAATCTTAATTAGGAAAGTAAAATTCTGCAACGTAAGATCGGGTTAGAATTATTCTTATTGGATGGACATAGAAATATTGTATTTGTCATTGCACTATAATAGGGTATCTTGCCTATGAGAATTGTAGCCAGCAGTTAAAGTTAATTCAGTGTGATTTAACCGTCAACCAAAGTTTTTATAGCTTTAAGCTGTGCTGCTCTGAGATGCTGTGTTAAGTTGATTTCACAGTAAAGTGTCCTGTCAAATCTTGTTGAAAACTGTATACATGTTGATATAACTTGCTATCTAGCGGTCTGTAATTGTGTTAAACCATTGCCATATTGTATACTTATGTTATACCTACATAGTCACTGATATCACGCATGTTACATATTGTTAGTCACAATAAATATTTTTATAATTAATTTGTGATTAATGAGTGAAATAAAAATCCTCTAATGAAACTTACTCCAGGGTCTGAGAATTAAAATAGTGGGTAATTTTCAGCTTTAAAATCATTCATCGGGAAAACAGTGTCAAGATATTAATTTTTATATAAAAAAAAAAATATATATTTAACTTTTATGAAAATATTTGTAACATTTATCACCCCATAAATATTCTCACATTTATAAATCCAGCAGAGTTTACTTTCGATTGACTGGATACCTACACTGTTGTAATCTGTAATTCGAAGGTACCTAAAATTATCTATAGAAAGGAGAGATTGTGTAGCAATATATCCAGGCTTCAGAAAACCCACACATTGTGCTCCTGTTTTTTACAGTTTTAAAAGAAATTAAACTTCCTGGAATTTGGGGGGCAGGGTCTGGCTGTCAAGCTGCACCATCTTTAGCAGTTACATAGCTGAAAAGAGACTTGCGTCCATCAGGTTCTACCTTCCTCACATATGTTTTTACTGGTTTATCCAAAAGAATGCAAAAAAAACCTAACCAAAAAAAAAAAAAAAACCTAGTCTGAAGCGCTTCCAATTTTGCCACAAAATAGGAAAATTCCTTCTTGACCCCAAAATAGCAGTCAGATGTCTCCTTGGATCAATCAGCTATTACCCCACTAATTAGAAATTATATCCCTGTATGTTGTGTTTTTGCAAGTTTTTATCCAATTGCAGTTTAAACATCTGTATGGACTGACAAAACCACCTCTTCAGGCAGAGAATTCCATATCCTTATTGCTCTTATTATATTAAACCCCCCACCCAAAAAAAAAAAAAAAAAAACAAACACACAAAACACACTCAAACCTTTTCTTTGCCTTAGATGAAATATCCTTTCAAGCCGAAATGCATAACCTCGTGTCCTATGTATAACCCCGTTTATGAATAGATTTCCAGATAAAGGTTTGTACTGGCCCTGAATATATTTGTATAAAGTTATCATATCCCCTCTAAGGCGCTGTTTTTCCAAACTAAACAGATTTAATTTTTTTAACCTTTCTTCATAACTAAAATGCTCCATTCCTTTTATCAATTTTGTAGCTCGTCTCTGGACCCTCTCCAGTGCCATGATATCCTTCTTTAGAACAGGCGCCCAAAATTGCACAGCATATTCAAGGTGTGGTCTTACCAGCGATTTATAAAGAGGCAGAATTATATTTTCATCCCGAGAATTTATGCCCCTATTTATACATGACAAAATCTTACTGGCCTTAGCAACTGCAGATTGACATTGCATATTGCTGCTTAATTTGTTGTCTATAACAATTCCCAAATCCTTCTCGTGTGTGGTTATCCCTAATTCACTACCATTTAGTGTGTAAGTTGCTTGTGCATTCTTAACCCCGAAGTGCATAACTTTGCATTTCTCTATGTTGAATTTCATCTGCCATGTTAGTGCCCAGTCCCCCAATCTATCCAAAACTCTCTGCAGCAAAGCAATATCCTGCTCACATTTTATTACTTTACAAAGTTTTGTGTCATCTGCAAACACTGATACATGGCTTTCAATGCCTATTTCAAGATCATTTATAAATATGTTAAATAGAAGTGGTCCCAAAACAGAACCCTGAGGGACACCACTTACCACTTTTGTCCAGGCTGAAAGTTTACCATTAATTACAACTCATTGTCCTCTATCCTTAAGCCAATGTTCTACCCACAAACAATAATCATCTAGACAAATTTCTTTTAGTTTGAAGACTAACCTATTGTAGGAACCGTATCAAATGCCTTGGCAAAATTCCAAGTAGATCACATCCACTGCAACACCCTGATCTATACTTCTACTTCTTCACAGAATGCAATTAGGTTAGTTTGACATGACCTATGTTTCATAAAACCATGCTGATTATTGCTAATAACAAAGTTCTTCCCAATGAATTCCTGAATATTATCCCTTAATAGCCCAACTATTTTCCCAGTTACAGACGTTAAACTCACAGGTCTATAATTTCCAGGCAAGGATTTTGAACCCTTTTTAAATATAGGAACAACATCTGCCTTCCTCCAATCCTCCGGTACAATACCCGAATCATTTGTTCCGGTTTGAACATATACAATTTGCCTAACTGGAAAGCTGGTACAAACTGATGCTGGCCGGGGTTCACTGTAGCATTTCTTGTGGCACACGACAGTTCTTTTTTTGTAGAGAACGGTTGAAAAACCATGATATATTGGACCCGAGCCCTACCACTCTACATGTAAAGTAGTGTGATGGACCGCCTGGCAATCAGACTTGGTGCCTTGGTCAAATCGATGCTCCTAGTGCTCACCGAGGGCTCCAAGCACATCACCAGACACCATAAGCACTACAGACCCCACAAACCACCGCAGCTTAGTTGCGTTCTCTGTCCTCCACCCACCCTGAACCCAAGGCCAGGATCCAGCTTCTAGTGGGTGAACCTCTCCAAGAGAGTATAGCTGTGAAGCTCTTGCAAGAGCTAGTGGTTATAGCTTGTATAGCAGGACCCTACAAACACAAGGCGAGGCTTTATGTTAAGGGTGAAGTAGGACTGGTTTAATGGTAGCCACACTGGCCTTTTATGCAAGTCCCCAAGAAAGGGGTATGTCCACATGGACCTTGTTGGGGACTGTGACACAAACTTACTAACCAATAATGACAGTTACAATGTAAGGCACTCCCATACATGGCATACAATCCCTCCCCTCTGCCTGGGAGATAGAGTCAGATACTGCATTAACCCAATTATCTCCAGGCAGAAAAAAAAACAAACGTTTTTACAGAACCCCAAAAGTACCTGAAAACACGTAGTATCCCCACAAATGTTACATAGCCAAAAATCACCAAGATCACTTCAGGAATTCTATGGAAGTCACATTTTGACTGAGTATGGTCCCATGCCCAAAACAGTTGCAGAGAATCAGGCTGTGTGGTCAGTCTATTTCGGTCATTCGAAGTAAAGTTCAAAACACTGAACATAACCGTTTGTGAGTACGGTCAGTGTAAGTCTCCTGTTCAGGAGTTTCTTTTTATCGAACACTGTTCGACTCCCATGTGAATAGCCGAACATCTATGGAAGGTAAGCGTTCAGCAGTGTTCGTGCACTAGAGTGTCCAATTTGAGTTTCATGCACTCAATGGCCAAACACCACTCATTGTACTCTCTGCTTAAGATGGCCGCCGCCACGTGTTTGCATGCCCCTTCGAATGGCTTTGGGAGTTCGAAGTGCTGCTTCGAGAGGAGAGTTCAAATTGTTCCTGTTATAAGTCCAAGAGGCACAACCAGATTATTTGACCCAAAGTTCATTACATGGGCCATAGTCACAGGGCAAGAGGCTGGCAAGTATGCCCCTCCAAGAACCCGTGATGAGGTCCAGTTCATCATCACAGAGACCTATATACAAGAGCTACACTGTAACTGCAATGCGTTTATGAGGTAATCTCAGACCTCTAAAGACAAGCCAGAGAGTTGTTGAAGTCCTGGAACCTGGAAACATGGTATCGTAATGATTCTACAGTGCTGACTTATCCTGCCTTACACGGGCCTGGCAGTTGCTGGTATATAACATCAACTCTTTTGCCCCACCTGCTTACCTCATATCTGCCTTGGATGCCATCAGAGGTTCTTCATTGTCAACAACCCAAGATATGGGTGTGAAGATGCAAGGCCTCTTCTGCCTCTCGGTCATTATATAAAATTATCCTAGACATGGTGTCATGCATGCTGAGCCCTGGAAGAGTGGCTGCTAATACAAGACGGTGGGAGCACTGAGGGGTATTGCCCTGGATCCCCACGCTACTTGCATTCATTTGGTACCTGCGTAGTTTTCGCACCTGGGCTTGGTGTGAGAACCTGAAGTCTGAAAACTTTGCTGTGAGCCCTACAATATGTGGGAAGTTGGGTCCCTAAACAGACCGGTGGTAACAGGATCTGATGGTGCCTTTATCGCCAAAGTGTCCGGTAGGGCATGAGGTGCAGTGGAGTCTCTAGTGGTTTCCAGGAGCTCGAGCAGATGGTTAGAGAATGGAGGCTCTTATGAGAAGGGGTTCATGGACTGTTATTATTTTAAAGTGCTGACTAAGTCGTTGGGCTGCCTGGGTGACCAAGGAGAGACTCCCCAAGTTCTGGCTGTATATATTTAACAGAAATAATTGCGGGGCCTGTTGTGGTGGTGCCTGTCTTCATGGGTTGTGGTGGTCCACTGGACTTCAGTGCTTTGTCTAACCAACTCACGATATCTATGCAAGATGTATGGGTTAATCATACCTACTTTGTTTTCTTGCAGGTGTGGTCTATATTTTTCAGTGAGGTCCTATTGCTCTCTTTACGTATGTCTTATTTTTTTCTCTTTAGTACCATGGATGTCAATTGGGTAGCTCTCCCCTGCATGCATCATGGGTTTCATATGCCAGCTTTTAATAAGCTATTGTCAGAGGACCCACATACAAACTATGGAGTTCTTTTCCTATACACAAAGACATAACCAGGCCTCAGGGTGGCCAGACTTAAAGCGGCACTGTCATGGCGAACTTACCTTTGCTTAATCTCTTCCTCTTCTCCCCCCTCTCTCAGGATCTGTTTTTCTTTTCTTCCTGTCTTTAAAATCCTAAGACAAAGTAGGGACTCTTTACCTTATGGAGGTTTCCACCGCTTGACCAGCTCTGACCAGCGAAGGA